ACCCTTATGCTGGAAAAGTACAAAACTTTAGTGAAAGGAGTTAAAGAAGAGCCAATCAAATATAAATAAATGCGTCGTGTTCATGGAGCTGAAGCCAATCTTGTCATGATGTTGTTGTCCTCCAAAATAATATATGGATTTAACAGAAGCTTCATTCATAACCAACCGGTTTTTCTTTATAGAAACAGGTCAATTCTAAGAGTTGTTTGGGTAACCTAAGGATCTAGAAGAACCAAAACAATCATGAAAAAGAAAAAAGGTATTCACACTACCCTGATTTAAGTACTTACTAAAAATCCACAGTAATCAAAATAAGGTCAAAGGGACAAGAGATTTGGCTCAGTGGCATAGCACCTGCCTGACAAGTAGGAGGTCCTGAATTAGATTCCTGGTATCTCCCCTAAAAAAACAAATAAGTGTGAAAATAGTGTAAGGAGGAAAAAATGGATCAATATAACAATCAAAGAGTTCAGAAATAGATGCACATCTAAATTATCAACTAATTTTTGAAAGTAATGCCAAGGTCTCACTAAGTTACTATATTGTCCAGGCTAGTCTCAAACTTGGGATCTTCCTGCCTCAGCCTCCCAGAATGCATTGATTTTAGGCATGTGCCACCATGCCTGGCTTATCCAGTTTTATTTCTATGAAATTAAAGGACACACAGTACAGAATCCATAGACAGAAATGACAACAGTGGGTGCCAATCAATGGGGAAGACATAAATTTACAAGAATTGGGAGGAACTTTCTTGGGTGTGGAAATGTTCTACATCTTGCTTGCTGTGTGTGATATGCATGTCTAGGTCAAAATTGTCTTATTCTCTTAATGAATAGAGGGATTTGTTTTAATGGTGTTTGTAAATAGGATAACAAGTCCACATCTTGTACAGCAATTAAACACTAGGAAGAATGTATGTGATGTGTTAATTATTGAAACTGTCCTACCAATTTGGTTTGAAACTGTCTCATTGCTATTTGTTTCTCAATAAAATTATGGAAAAAAATAAATAAATGCAGGGTGAAGGAGAAAAAAAATTGTCTTAAATTGTACTTAAACTTTTTTTAAAAAAATCACCATACTTCTACCACTCAGCACACAATGGGTTCCTGGATGGAAAGAGGAGTGCTGAGAGACGCTGCTGAAGGGGTGTCCTTCCCATGCTGCCTCAAGGTTTCTCAGGAATACTGAGCATCCCCAAAAGGAGAAAGCCTTATGGCCCTAAAGGGCTTTGCATTGGTCTGCTTTGCATGACTATAATGAAAAACCTGAGGTAATTAATTTAATAAGAGTAAAGGTTTATTTTGGCTCCATTGTGGAGCTTCCAATCTATGACCTATTGCTTTAGGGACAGGGTGAGCCACTTCATGGAGGGAAAATGTGACAAAGCCCTGGCTCTGTGGCCAGGATATGACAAATGATAGGAAGAGAGGGACCCAAGTCTTACCATCACCTTGCAAGGCACAGCCCTGTGACCTACGGATGTCTAGCCAGGCCCCATGTATCCTTTCAGGGATGCTGTGTAAATGGGAGAAGGCAGGGTGGTATATTTTCCTTTGGCAAGTCAGAGTGGGTGGGCTGCAAGAAAGGGGCTCCGACCCGGGCGGGGGCTCCTGGCTCAGGTCATCCCTCTTCCCAAGGTGCCATCTCCTCTCCCAGCCCCCCACCCACACCTGTCTTTCTCTGGTTCCCACCCAGATCCTCTGCTGCACCCAACCCCAGCTCACCTTGGTCCTGTCCCCCCTGAGCCACACACGTGCCACGTGATGGGAGCCCGCGTGCCCCTGCAGCCCTTGGGGAACTGACTGGGCTCATGTACCCTCCCAAGCAAACCCAAGCTGCTGTGCTTGAGCACATTAGGGAAGAACAATAACTGTTGATTCTAATTGTGAATGATAGAATAATTCGAGGTGCAAAAAGATGAAAGAGCAGTAGGGTGTGGGGGTGCACCCTGAATCCCAGTGTTCGAAAGGCTGAAGCAGGAGGATCCTTCTGAGTTGAAGACCAGCCTGGGCTACAAAGTGAGCTCAAGGCCAGCCTGGACTTCATAGTTAGAAGGAGAGAGAGAGAGAGAGAGAGAGAGAGAGAGAGAAAGAAGAAGAAGAGGAGGAGGAGCTGAGTCCATGCATATGGATTCTTAAGCATCTACCCAAGCAGCACTTTTGAAAGTGTAACCTAAAGGCCCTGCTGGTCCCCAAGTGCACTCAGTGAGTCTGCAAGTGGGAACTGTTTGCAATATACTCACACATGACTCCTGCGTTTCACTCCTTCTGTTAGCACACGGTGGGACAATCCCACCCCAGTGGCCATCGCATTGCTTTAAAGGTCAATGGAATATGTAGTCTTGTGTTTTCCATTTTCTCTGATTTTTAATTTCACGTGCAGGAGGCCCTGGAAACAAAGGCCAAGACCTCTCGCATGCTGGGTAGGGCATGCTGCTGAGCCGCCCCAGCCCCTTCATACAGAGTCTGGATAGATTAAATAGAATAGACTGGCCTTGAACTTGTGATCCTCTGGCCTGTGCCTCTTGAGTAACTGGGATTCCAGGGGCACCACCACACCCAGCTGAGATTTAATATCCGCCAGTAAATGTCGACAGTCGTGATCCACAGAGGCCAAAGCTCTCTGCTTAGAGTGTCTAGGGATCAGTGTGCCCGGTACTCGCCCAGCAAAGATCACAGTCAAGGAAAGGAGAAGCACCAGGTAGCACTCAAGCAAAGGGACTTGCTCCAGGCTCATGGGGAAGGTCTTGCCAAGGAAGGGGTCCTACACCTGCCAACCTCTGGTACACAGAGGGTCCCAGTCGCCTGCCAGAGCACTGCCTTCTGCCAGCTCTGGGCCATTGGGTTTTGCTCATTTCTGCCACCGCATGGCAAGCTGCAGGACCCCAGGCTGCGATGAATGAAGGAACATGCAAAAGGCTTCCACAGACGAAGGCTTACCATCAGATCCCTGCTGGCTGGATTCTCTCTTGGGCATTTTGGCTTTCTGACACAGAGCTCAGCACAATGTTTGCGAGCTAGGGTGCTTGGGAAACAGAGGATTGTGTGCTGACAGGTACTGCTTGGGTGCTCAGCAGGTCTGGAGCTGGGCTTCCTGGAACCCCAGGTTCACATGGGAGCTTAGGCTGATGGCTGTGACAAAAGTCCAAGTCACTTTCCTCTCGTATGCTGGTCCAAGCCAAATTTCTCCCCATCTCTTCCACAACCTCTTCCGCTACATGTCCCCTGGACTAATCTCCTAGGCCAGTGGCCATCCCTCAGTGAGAACTTTTCCTTCTTGCTTTGTTCTCAAGGCTACTGTCCTCAATATCTGAGCCAAGATGTCCAGGCCTGGGACCTGGGCATCAGGGGCCCAAGTCAGCCTCCCAAGACCTGATGGGTAGGAGGAGAGGCCAGAGGAAGGCAGTACACTGTCGCTGCCTTCCACATGGGCTTGCTCGGTTTAGATTGATAGCGTGGTCCCCAACCCAGCCTGAACCAAGGACAGTGAGGAAAGGTCCAGGCAGACATGGTGCCAAAGAAGACCTCAGGTGCCTGGATCCTCCAGCACTCGCGGGACTGCAAATCTCACCTGGAAGCTGCACTCTGTCCCAGTCCCATGGATCTCCTCCCCACCTGCCTCCTGCCACTGGCAAGCAGGACTGGCACAGGTGGTGGGAGCAGGTCCCGCCTTCCAATGGCCACGTGCATGACCTGGGGCACTTGGGTAGCTTTCACAAGAAGGAAAGATGGAGGGAGAACCAGGGGTTATATGGAAACAGTACAGGCAGTCACAGAAGGCTGGGCCCTTGGGTGATCAGTGCAGAGACAACTGAGGTGGGTGGCACATTCACCGAAGGCCAGGCTTGCAGAAAAAGAGGATGACCACACCCACACACTCCCTTAGGGATGAAGGGCAGTGACTGATCTAAATACACATCCATCAGCTGGGGTGGAGAACCAGACCCCTGTAACTCACCCCTTGCAGGAAAGTCCTTGTTCCTCCTATATGTGCTTGCTATGTGACTTGCTTCCACAACTGATCCCCATTTAATCAGTATTACCTAAGCGACTATACTTGTTGGAATCTGACTGTTTCCCCATACTTTCGCCTCACCTCACACTGCCACTATAGTGTACTGGTTTTTGTTTTTAGTTTTTTGAGACAGAATTTCGTCTTGTAGCCCAGGCCCCCATCTCCGTCTCCCTGCCTCAGCCACCGGAGTGGTGAGATTTACAGGTGTGCACCACTACACCGTTTACGCTTGTAATCTTATTGGTTGACTGTAGTGTTGTCCCACCTTGAACCTGCCTCATCTCACGGCTCCGCTCAATAAAGCACCCTTGAGAATCCGGGCAGCAGACAGCCCCCTTTCGGGACCTACTTCTGTCTCTGAGAATTTTTCTTCCAAAGAACTTTCTACTCTGAGCCACCATTGCTCTTATAATTCATTCCTCTATTTTAGAGAGTATCAAATCCTGTTTCCGATATCTAGCAAGTTAGGACTTATGTACTTTCCTTAATTATTTGGAAGCCTGTATGTTCTTCCTATATCACACGTCCTATGACGGGGGGGTAAAGAAAGAGGTAGGATGAACTTGGAGCTCAGAGACAAGGCAAGCACCTAGCACGTGGCCTGGATGGTAGTAGGTAGAGCTCGGGCTCACCAGCGAGGACCTCGCTACGCCAGGCAGCCGCAGGGGGGGGAGGGGACGGGGGGGGGGACGGGAAGAGAGTGGGCTGCCAGGGGACCGGGGTCTTTGCCTGATGCCTGAATGAAAGAATGGATGGATGGATGGATGGATGGATGGATGGATGGATGGGAGCGCGCGCGGCGGGTGGCAGGCGCATCGGCTTCCCGAGGGCTCCGGGGACGCGCGCGGGCTCGCGCGGGCGCGCGGGTAAGGGGCGCAAGCGCTGTGGGCACCAGGGCCCCCCGGGGGCGGGGCGGGCTGGGGGTGGGGTTAGAGGCCGGGAAGCTCACTGGATCCAAACTTCCGGTGCTTTCAGCGCACGGATCAGCGGCAGCAGCTCGGAGAGGCTGCGCGGGTGGAGCTGAAGGGAGGACGCGCGGGCCGGCGCAGCCATGGTGAAAATCAGCTTCCAGCCCGCCGTGGCCGGCGTCAAGGCAGACAAAGTATCGGCGTCCTCTCCGGCCCCGGCGCCCGCCCAGGCCGCGGAGATCCTGCTGACGCCAACTAGGGTGAGAGAGGCCGGGGCGCAGGTGCGGGGCTCGGGGCGCTCGGGGACGTGGCGAGCCCGGACCCGCGAGAGGAGCGGGGAAGGGAGGTCTGTGATGGGCGACCTATCCGCAAGTGGGGACCAGGCTTGGGTTCCGTCCTCGTGCGTCTGCTCGAAGCAGGAGGTCTTTGGTCCCTGCTCCTTCCGTGGGAAATCGCGCAATATCTCTCCCAAGAGTGGAGGAGCCCATGGACGCCGGGCGGGCGCCGGGGTTCGCTAGTGCGAGGAGCTCTGGTCGGGTTTCGCGTCTGGTTCCAATCAATGGGAAAAGGACCGCGAGTCCAGTCCCCAGATGGGTGAAGCGAGGCTGCTGGGATGTCGTTTCCCCAATCTAGAGCGGTGGGACCCGACTGGTTGGAGAATTAGTCGGGGAGGGGTGCCCACGGAGGGAACGGGGTTATGGAGGTTTCCTCCCGAAGGCGGGGAGCATGTGCTGCTTTTCCTCGCGGGAACCGGCAGGCCACAAAGTGATGAAATGGAAATAAACCAGGGCCGGCCCGGCCGCACCTCTGGGAAACCGGGGTCCCAGGCCTGGAGTTTTTGTCCAGCGCACCCCCGCTACGTCCTCCTCCCCTGGAGGGGACCCCGCGGCCCACTTTGTGGGGGTGGCACAGTGCGCTCCGCCTGCGTTCAAGCCTGGAGGGGAAATTTCCGCCTAACTAGCTGCGCTGCACGGAGTGTGACCGCGGAGGAGCCCGGAGGGACAGGACGGGGGCGACGGTCTCGAGCACACACATCCACTACCACCCCCTAGAGGCAGGTCTCAGGTCAAGTTCAGTGGCTCTGGTTCTATCCCGCCTGGGGCTCTGGGGCCTAAAAGAGGAGCTGGAGAGGGCCTCAGAAGTGGAGGCGACCCTGGGTGGGAAACCCACTGCTCAGAGCGGCGCTGCCCACCCCCACCCCCACACCTGTGGCGGTCACTGCAGCAGCCGGCGTCTACAGCGACAGGATTCCAGCGACCATTCCTCACCCCAAGCTTGGACTCAGCGTGCACCCCAGTGCACCCCACATAGAAGACAGTGGCTTGCAGCTTTGAAAGTTTGCTTTGTACTCTAGACCTCGCTGTCTCCACCGCGGGAGCCAGCCTACTCCCTTCCTCTCCTTACTGGGAGGAGGTGGGGCCCGGACCCGCCAGGGAGAGGCTCCGCTGGGCTCTTCCCGGCTGCCTCTAGCAGGAGCTGGCGCCCAGCTAAGACTGGGAATCTGGACCCAGCTGCTGGAAGCCGCGAGGCTTGAGCACAGGGAGGACCAGGCCAGACCATGGAGCCTGTAATTCCCACTCCTCAGCGGGTCCACAACTCTGCAGGCGCTGCACTTTTGGATGACCGCCTGCCTGTGGGGTTAGCAGGATGGCCGACTCCCGTGGGGGAGGTTTCAGATTTTCTCATTAACATCTGAAGACTTGATGATTTTAGTGTATGAAATAAACTAGCAATATACAGGAGCTGCCGATTTATTAGCATGTATAAGCACCAAAGCATACACAAGGGGCCAGGGAGATGGCTCAGTGGAATAAGCCCTTCCCTGGCAAGCGCAAGGGCCCCAGTTCAATCCCCAGTTGTGAAAAAAAAGTATACACAAAGCTTGAAACTCAGAGAGAGAAGCTGGCTGAAATCCCCTTCCTTCTTTTTTCTGTTCCTGCGTCCCAGTTTCTCTTTTCTTTTGACGTTTCTGCCCGTTTTACAATATCTATTATACGTTTGGGACCTTATTTAATCTTATTTAATCCAAAATGGTGCAGATGAAGTTTCTCAGGTAAGAATCCAGAGGAAGTGTGTGATCACCTGGAGCCAGGCGCAGGCTGCGGTGTTGTCTTCCAGGGAGATCTTGCCTAGACAGTTGGGGGTGGGGGCTAGAGAAAGCCTGTTGTCATGCATGTGCCTGCCTTTCGCTTAGGGCCTAGGGCCGAGATTCTGAACGCATGCAAATCTCCCCACAAAGGACAGCTTGTCTCAAGCGGTCCTCCTCTGAGGCCCCTCTGAATAGTTGTTTGGAAATATGCTCAAGCAGCCTCTTTGGCGGTGGTCTGGTTTGATCTCCGTTGCCCGCGTGGCCTGGGCAGTAACTGGCATCCAGCCTCGGACTTTTATTGGGCTCCGAAGCCCTCACACAGCAGAAAGTGGAAATATCAACATCTGAGTGGGAGCCAGCCGAGTGCCTCCCCTACATTACTTATTAGCAGTGGGGAGCTTGAGGCCAGGGCTGTCAGAAGGAGGAATTGAAGTCCTGGCACCTTGGGGACAGAGCTGTGAGTCTCTCGGAGCTCACACGGCTTGCCAAGGCCTTGAGCTGGTGGAGAGGAGTATGTGGGTGTTGCCCGCTGATGCCAGATCGATGCCAGATCGATGCCGGACCCGAACCCTTGGATGTGCCCTTCCGGGCCCACCTGGCCTACCAGGGAATTACTCCTCCACCCGTTCTCAGCCCTGCACTTGGCCTCCCTCCTGCCGCAGCAGTGGTGGGCCCCGAGAGAGGGCCCGGGGACAGCAAGAGGCTGGGTACCTTCCAGGGCAAGGCATTAGGATTTTGTCCCATACTCATAGTGAGGCAGAGGACAGTACCTCCAGATCTCTTCTGCCTGATGCCGACCCCAGAACACTTCTTGATGTCTGAACTGGACTTGAAGTCAGGGTGTCCCAAAGGTGAGCCCTAGAAAGACCTTGTGAGGAGCTGAGGAGGGAGCCAGAGCCCTTGGGCCGCAGCAGCTGGCTTATGAGCAAAAGCCTGGAACAAGGGGCATTTTGTCTCCAGACCTGAGGCTGAGAGGAAGTGCTGGTGGGGCCCAGCTGCGGAGCTGCCAGTGGTGTTTGGACTCAGATAATGCAGCAGCCCTGCTGGGCAGCCTGAGCCCCTCTACCCACTCTGCCTGCTTATGTATGTGCGTGCGCGAGTGTGCATAGGCGGGTGTGGGCATGCAGGCTCACCGGGGCGGGGGCGTGTGAGCGAGACAGACATGCTAACCCCAATCATCTGGGCTCTGTGCTTTTCTCCTTGACATTTGCCTTTGATTAATGGGCCCTGCGTGGCCCCCTCCCCCAGTCTACATACCTGCAGCTCAGATTTCACTTTCCCAGCCTAGCCTGGCCCAGGCCCCTGGCCAAAGGTGCATTTGGGGGAGGGTCCCAGCAGCCCCCACGCCCAAGGTTTCTGAGTCCCTTCCAGGACAGGGCAGTGACTCTCCAAGCCTGGGTGTTTGGAGGGAACACACAAGCAGGATATTTCGGCTTTTCTGGCTCTCTTGCCCATCCCTTTCTGCTTCTGGGCTGCAAGTCTCTACGGGGAGGATGGGTTGTTCCTATACTTGTGGTAAGCACCTCTGCCAGCCTCCACCCTAACTGCTCTGTCTGTCTGTTACTCTGGAGAGTGACAGTTCTGGAGACAGCCTGCTAGGACAGAAGAGAGCTCTAGGGTGCAGAAAGCAGATTGTACTGCTCTATAGAGATGCCACCCAGAGGGTCAGGGGACTAGAGTGGGGTGCAGGAGTGGGACCCACCCACGGTGTGCAGCACACAGTGCAGATCCCAGAGACACCGGTGCTGTTGGGCCCCTGGGCTGTGTGTGCAGGGACCCCAGGCATCTGATCACCTGCCACCCCGGCAGGGCCTCTATCTCAGGTGTGCCGATGGGCACCCTCTCCTCCCAGCTGGAGCCTGCTGCCCAGAAGAGGAGAACAGGACCGCATCGAGGGCTATGACCGATGAGAGTGCCCTGACTCCAGCCTTGCCCTGGGTTTCTGGCTGGCTGTCGCGCACCCCCAGGCAGCCTGCAGTTGTACTTTAGCCCATTTGTGGCTGATTTATACACTGCATTCCCTCCAGCCACGGAGTCTACTGCGCTCACCACCAGTGTGCCCCTGGCTTTGCTAAATCCTTTCCTAAGCCCCACTGTGGACCCCAGTGAAGCCCCTTCAGGCCCCTCAATGTCTGGCTCACTCACACACCCAACACAAGTGTGCAAGGAGGCGCTTTGCTCCCAGCACCCGTTGCTGTGGCAACAGTATGTAGATTTTCTTTCTAACCGGAAGCCCCCAAATGCCTGACAGTTGCTAACAGCTCCCTGTGGGGAGCAGCATTTCCTGGGGCTGCATGGCAGCTCCCTGATGCCTCTCAGCCCTCAGATTCTGCCCACCCCCACCCTCCAGCTCACAGCCAGCAGCCAGGTCCTAGGCAGGGCAAGTGTCCCTGGGCTTTGGCATTTGAGCTTTGACCTTGGCTGTAGTGTTGGGTCCAGCAGGCAAAGGCAGCGCTGGGCCTATGTTAGCTGGCAGGGACATTTGAGTTATCCTGTCTCACCTGCCCTCCCTTCATTGCCAGCCCTGCTGCCCCACCTGGGGGCTTCTAAGGACTCTAGCCACAGGGCCACAGGATGAGTAGCTGGGTGACCTGGCCCCAGTGGGTGTTGGCAGATGTCAGCGGCAGGCAGCAGAAGAGCCATTTGTCAGCGTTAAGAAATTTCACAAGCTCATCCATCTGAGTTTTGATCACCTTAGTGTCTGAGATGAACAAACAGGAAACAGATGGACAGAGAAACAAGGGAAGTTCTTGATGTGCTCAGGACAGGAGCCATGTACGTAGCGTGATGCTCAAGGGCTGCAGAGCTGAAGCTGAAGCAATATTTCGAGGCACAGAAAGAAATAGGGGCTGGTGGGATGCGGCCACCTCACTGAGGGCTGGAAGCAGTGGTTGTCTCCACCCAGGGCTGGAAGCAGTGGTTGTCTCCACCCAGGCCTCTCTCGTGGAAGACCCAGGGCGCCATCTGTGAGCCATCCTGGAAGCTTGTTCCTGATGGGGCATCCGTCTGCATCCTCACTTACCTTCCCAACGCAGAGGTGTAGACGGCTTCCTCCAAAGGGCAGCTTCTCTGGCTGTTCTCTCATCTGCGGAAGGCTGCAATTTCTCCAAATAACCTCCTGGAAATATGCCAGAGAGACAGACTGGAAGAAGGATGTTTTGATGCCCTTCACAGCCCTGGCTATGAGCGGTTTTAGAGGGGTAAGGTGGGGGATCCACACCTTCACAGTGACTGGAGCCTCTACCTCTCTCTGCCATACCTGGCCTGGGCCCCCAAGCACTGCCACCTCTTTCCTCTCCACCCCACCCGCTTCCATGCTCAGTCCTCATCCATCACTCCTGACCACCAGGGAGCTCAGGTCCACAATGAAGAGGCCACCCCTGTCCATTCTGCTGCCTCCCTGGTTTTCCAATATGCAACAACAGTAGCATAGCCCAGGGTCGCAGCCCCAACATCCATCTTCGGGGCCACCCTAAAAAGGAAAGGCCTGCTTTGGAGCTGCTATTTTTATCTGGTACTTTATCCTCCACAAAGGGCTTTCAGGTTCTTTGTCTCTTTTAATCTCAAAATAAAACCCTGCTGGGGTGGAAGTGGGAGACAGCAGGAGAGGCTACAGTGCCCTGTCAGGCACCCCAGACTTCCCAACTCTGGGCCTCTAAACCTACTCTGGGCTTTGGGGGGCCCTGTGCCCTGTAGGCACCTGTGGGTGCCTTGCAAGTCTGGCTCAGCCACAATAAAATCTGCTGGAGGGCTCTGGAGGGGCAGAAAGCCCCCACCGCCTGGCGTTGGCTGTGCAGGCACCCTGATGGCTTGCTCCTGTGAGACAGGTAGAGCTTGATGGTGGGGTATGGTGTCGCCCGCCACTGGAGCCAGGAGCTCCATCTGACCTGGTCATTCCACAGCTGGGGAAACCAAAGCCCAATAAGTGCCAAGTGGCAGAGCCAGTAAGAAACCACAGGCCCTGGGCTGGATCCCATTGCCCTTCCACAAGGGTGCCTCAGTTTCTCAAGGTTTAGGCTGTGGAGACTGTATCTGGGTGCCAAGGAGACCAGTTTTGGGCAGGCATCATTGCCAAGGTGCTCACCAAGCTGGGCAGGGTAGAGGCACAGATAGAAAGCCATCTAGGGCCACCTCTTGTCCACTGCTTGGGGCAGAGCAGTGCTACTGAGTTCACCTTCCTGCCCTGCCCCGGCAGCTGAAGCAGAGAGCCAGATGTGGCTGGCCAAGCCCCAGGCATGGCCCCTTGGCAGATTCCTGGCAATCTGCTCACCACTGCTTGGCACCACAGAGAAGAGGCAGGCACAGTGGGCTCTAAGGTCAGTCTTGCTGCCCGCTGCTGTGTGCACCATGAAACCTTGTGGAAAGAAGCACAGAGCTCAAGCCGAGCATGGTGGTGCATGTTTGTAACCCCAGAACTCAGGAGGCTGAGACTGGAGGGTTGTGGTGAGTATGAGTCCAGCCTGGGCTACAAAGTGAGCTTAAGGCCATCCTGAATTGCATAGCAAGACCCTGTCTCAGAGAGAGAGAGAGAGAGAGAGAGAGAGAGAGAGAGAGAGAGAGAGAGAGAGAGGGGGGGGCGAGGGAGGGAGGGAGGGAGGAAGGAAGGAAGGAAGGAAAGAAAGAAAGAAGGACTCAAGTTGATGTAAAGAGGGCTGAGAACACAGATCCTAGGGGTTGCTTCCAGGGTGTGGCCTCTAACTTGGAGGAGGAGGCTGCATCCTTCCAGTGACCTGACTGTTGTGTCTTTCTCCCAACCTCCCTGGGCCCCACCAGAGGATGGTCTGCCTTAGAGCAGGGAGGGTTTCAGGGGACAGGTCCACAATCAGGCGCCTGGCTCACCCAGCCCTGCTCTCCACAGGAGGAGCGGCCCCCCTACCACTGCCCCAAGAAGGGGGGCTCAGTGGGTGGCGTGTGCTACCTCTCGATGGGTGTGGTCGTGCTGCTCACAGGCCTCGTCTTCGCCTCCGTCTACATCTACAGATACTTCTTCCTGGCTCAGGTAACACACTGACCCAGGGCTGGCCTGGGGTCCCTCTCACACCCTCACTCTGGGGCATTCTTACCAAGACTCAGGTCACATAGAAGTGGGTACCTATGGTCCCACTCTACTCTGGGCACGGATGGGGGATTGCAGACCCAGAATAGCAGAAGGGCTTCTAAGATGGAGCATGGGCTGCGGGGCTGGCTGCCTCAACCCTGGTCACAAGCCCTGGGGCTGCAGAGGGCACCTAGACCTGGGGAGAGAGTGTCGCCATCTCTGGAAACTGAAGGGTACAGTTGTTCAAAGTGGCTCCCATAGCAGGGCATGGTGGTACATGCCTGTAATCCCAACATGCCTGTGATCTCAGCACTCAGGAGGCTGAGGCAAGAGAATTGCCTTGAGTTTGAGGCCAGCCTGGGCTACAAAGTGAGCTCAAGACCATCTTGAACTGCATAGGGAGACCCTATCTCAAAAAAACAAAAACAAAAAAGAACAGAAGTAGTTCACGAGGATCAATAAGCCTAAGTGCAACTACTGGGGAATTTCAGGGTGACCCAAGGGTGGGACTTGCCAGCCACTGCCAACCCAAGTGGCTGCTTACCATTAAGTGTTTAACTGTTTATTGTCACTCAGCTTTTCCAAGATGGAAACTACTGAAGAGTTGTGTCCTTTGGGGCTTTCCCTAGAGACCTCGCTGGGCACTTCCCACCCTTCAGAGCTTCCTCAAGGCCAGCTTCCCACTGGTCCTAGGTTTCCCTGGGGAGGGGGGCTGTCTTACCTTTGCAGTCATCACCCTCAAACCTCCAGCTCCTCTCACTCATGCCCTCCTGGGGCTCCTCAATATGACTGGCAGGCAGTGCGGCCCCCTGGACAGTTGGAGCAAGCTTGGTGGCCAGCCAGGCTCCCCCTTTGGCTCCCAGGGGCCTCATGAGTCAGCCTTCCTCCCAGGAGCACTGGAGGAAGAGGATCAGTGCCTGTGACAGCTCAGGCACAGAGGTGGCTAGAGTCTGCCTGTGTGGCCCATAGCTTCTCACCTCCCTCATATGCCCCCACCCTGCTAGAGAGACCCCTAGGGTGCCTGCTAGCCAGCTCTTAAGGTTTGCCCTGGAGGCCCCTCCACAGAGGGGCCAGGGCTGGTCAGTCCCCTTCAGGCTGGCCCACTGCAGACTCAGGGACTCTGAGGCCAGACCGGACCTGGGCATCATCAGGCTTCAGTTGGAGAAACAGAGGCTCAGGGTAGCTTCGCACCTGGCAACTGGCAGCCCCGGAACATCCTCGCCTCCATCTGCACGGCCACACATAGCCTTCTCTGAGCCTCAGCTTGCCTTTTACGGCTCCCACAGGCCCTTGGGCGTGAAGTGGCCAGGTAGGTGGCAGTGGCTGTGCCAAGAGCACTGCGTCACCTGTTTCTCTCCCCTCTGCCCTGTTCAGCTGGCCCGAGATAACTTCTTCCACTGTGGCGTGTTCTACGAGGACTCCCTGTCACAGGTCCAGACTCGAATGGAGCTGGAGGAGGACGTGAAGATCTACCTCGAAGAGAACTATGAGCGCATCAACGTCCCTGTGCCCCAGTTCGGTGGTGGGGACCCTGCAGACATCATCCACGATTTCCAGCGGGTGAGGCCACACCAGAGCCTGGTGGTGTGGTGGGAGCAGGTCCTGGGTATTTGTTTCTCACCTGTGTGTAGTTGATGTGTGTGGTTCGGTTACTAGACTGCTGGAGACATTGCCTTTATTATGCAGAGATGCCGTCCTTACTGAGGGCAGGCTGGAGTGAGTGGTTTTCTGATGGGGGCCGCAGGGCCTCATGTCTGCTGCACGTGATCGAGGGGGGCACCCACTGTCGGGTGCCCCAGTGTGCAGTGGGTGGGTTTTCATGGCCTGGCAGGCCGAGGTCTGGGGCAGTGCAGCGCTCTCAAGGGTCTTTTCCACCCTTTCTGGTCAGTCCATGCCCCCTCAGGCTCCCGCAGTCCTCCTCCATGGCTGTTTCTGAGCCCAGTGAACCTAAGGTCCCAGCCCTCTTCCCTGAACTCGCATCCCAAAGCCCAGTAGAGGTGGCAGCACTACCTGTGCTCTCCACATCCTGGGTGTCCCATGAGGTCCTGGGATAAAGCGTCTCTCACCGATATCCAGGCTGTCTGTGGGAACATCACACATTTGACAAAACACACAGTTGGAACTTAACTGTGTGCCTCAGACCTCACCCAGGGCTGCAAACCCATGAGGCAATGGACAGATGGGCAGGGTTCTCTGCCAGGAAGCAGCCCCTCCTGCAGACTGAGGCCAAGTGAAGCAGATGTCCTGGAAAGTGGGCACTAAGGAGCATGGGGGCCCAGGGCTGGTGGGGTGGAGTCCTGGGCTCTGTGGGCGAAAAAGGCTCTGCCTGTGGCTCACGCAGTCGACCCTCACCTGGCGGAGACTGAGCAGTCTCTCCGTGCAGGGTCTCACCGCCTACCATGACATCTCCCTGGACAAGTGCTATGTCATCGAGCTCAACACCAGCATCGTGCTGCCCCCACGCAACTTCTGGGAGTTGTTGGTGCACATGAAGGTGAGCGGGGCTCCCTCCATCCTTGCTCCATGGAGATCAGGGCTGGGCTGCAGGCCCCTGGGGGGTGAAGGGTGGAAAGCAGGGCCAGCCCTGGGTGCTGACCTATGCTGTGCATCCCCCCTCCCATGCAGAGAGGAACCTACCTCCCGCAGACATACATCATGCAGGAGGAGATGGTGGTGACGGAGCACGTCAGTGATAAGGAGGCCCTGGGCGCCTTTATCCACCACCTGTGCAGTGGGAAGGACACCTACCGGCTCCGGCGCCGGGCCCCCCGGAGGCGTGAGTGCTGGGCGCTGCCCTGAACTCCAGATCCCTGCCGTCTCTAGCAGTGCCTGCTCCAGCTGTCCCACTGCCGAAGTGGCAGTAACAACTCTCATCACCCAGCACTTAGTGTGCCAGGCGCTGTTTTATGACCACCAACATTATCCTCACTACCGTTCTAGCTGTCCTTCGAAAGATGAGGAAACTGGGGGATAGAGAGATTAATAACAGCCCTAAGTCCCACAGCAGGTACAGGCAGAGCCTGCCTTCGGATTCTGGGTGCTCCCCCTTTCCCTGTGCCAGGTATCTGGTATCTTCCCAGGCTCCCACCCCTTTGGCAGGCACAGAGGGAGGTGCCTTTGCATGCAGGGAACCAGGGCTCACTGGGATTTTTTTCCCTGCTTTCCCAGGCATCAACAAGCGTGGGGCCCAGCAATGCAACGCCATCCGCCACTTTGAGAACACCTTCGTGGTAGAGACCCTCATCTGCCAGGCACTGTGAGCCCACCACCCTACTCTGCCCTCTGGCCATTCCGGCCCCCCTGCCTCGCTTAGCTTGTACTGTGGATGCCTTCCCGTAGCTGTGCCCTGTCCTATTCTTTCCAGGCCCACCCGCCTCCCTGTACCAGGGCTATGACTGCCCGGACCCAGACTTTACTGATTTCCTGGGGCCTGGGGGAAAGAGGATGCTCCAAGATGGTTGCTGTGCCCCACCATCTTCAAATTGGACCCCAGTGTCTGGGCCAAGGGGTGAGATAGGCAGACAGGGTGGGGTCTCCATACACACTTTGGCACAGGTGCCTGGGCTGGGGCTGAGGGTGTGCCTGGGGTTGGACCCACCAGTGCACAAGGGACAGTGGCTGTCCCTAAGTTCCCTGGGCCTCTGTCAGTGCCTTCAGCCCCCCCGGTGGAAGCCAGGGTTGGGGTGGGATGAGTGAGTTCAGCACAATATTCTCCGAGTGGAACCAAAGAATTGAGGGGCCAGGCCCCCTCCCTGGCCCCTGAGAGCACAGCTGGGTCCCCATGGCGGGGACTGGCAGGGAGGTCACTTTCCTGGGCTGCAGCTCTAGGGAGGGGCTGGGCATGGCTGTCTAACCCAGGGCTTTGTGACCAACGGAGCAGGGGGGAAGCCGCCCAGTCCCCACACCCTGCCTCCTCCAGCCCCTGCAACAGGACCACACTTTCTGTTTCCTTCTCACTTTTGCATGTTTTTACTGATGATCCAGACGCTAACTGTCCTCAGCCCCAAGCCACTGGGTGCCGCCCAGAGAGGCAGCTCTTACATGCTTTGTATATTTTCTCTATTTGATCTCTTTTCAGAAGTATCTGCAGAAAATAAAAGTCTTTTACTTCTGGCTGCGACCCTGATGTGTCAGGTGGGGCGCTGGTGGGTGGACCTCATGGGGACAACAGTGGAGAAGAGGGCAGGCCTTGGCACCTGGCCCCGGAGGAGGCTGCAGCGTCGTCGCCTGCACCCTCACTCAGGGCTCTGTGAACCTGGTGGGGCTCGCATTTCACAGGCGGAGGGAGGGAAGTGCACCCGGGACCGGGCAGCCTGGCCAAGGTCAAGCTGCTTTTAGTGCCTTAAACCACCCTGGACTGCTCCGTGTGGCAGGTGATGTCATAGCACGCATCCTTCAGCACAAGGACGGTGTGGTGTCGTGTTCTGCACAACACCCAGGCTCTGGATAATGGTTCCTGGTGGTGCTGAACTGAGGTTGGCGAGATGGTCCCAAGCTCACATTCCCAGCCTCCATTCCAGCAGAAGGGAGGCTGAGGCAGGAGGATGGCTGGAGTTTGAGGACAGCCTGGGCTACATAGTGAACTAAATGTGGTACAGTCAATTCTGATGCCCTTCAGGTGTTCCTGTGGTAAATTACAGCAAGGGGAGGGGGCCTCCAGGACAGGCACTCGCCCTGCAGGCCTGAGGTCCCAGCACCCTCAAGGCACAAGCATCACAAAGACTAAACGGCTTGAGGATTTGGCATAGCAGAGGAAGATCTGGACAGAACTCGGGGGAGCCCAGAAACTGACTTAAATTACAGGGCTATTTGATGTGATTCCTGGTTACAGTGGCATCTGGGGACTGGGGGATGTGTGGGTTATTTTTAATGGAACAACAGACCAGCCTCATCGACAAACCTGAATTCTACTTCCTTGCACGATGTAAATGCCGCATGGATAAAAAGTTTGAGCTAGGGAATGAAAGTACTTGAAGCTGGACCAGCACTCCAGGCAGGAGGATCACGTGAACACAGGCGTTCGTGGCCAGCCTGGAAACAGCAGGACCTTGTCTCAAGGAAAAAATATTTGAAAGAAATGATGACTTAATCTTCAAGGAGAAATGGCCTTTCTGTTTCTTTTTCCGTGTGTGTGTGTGTGTGTGTGTGTGTGTGTGTGTGTGTGATATTTTTGAGACAAGGTTTCCCTGTGGATCCCAGGCTGGCCTTGAACTCACAGATATCCTCCTGTCTCAGCCACCTGAGTGCTAAGGCTGCAGGGGTGCACCACCATACCTGACAACCCTTCTAAACATGATACCGTGTTAGAATTTATAGACGAAAAGTTAAACTTACGATATAGCAAAATGTACCATGAGGGAGATAGGGGGAGATGATCTTCAAACATGACATTAGAAAAGCCACTTTCCTCCAAGTACAAACTTTTTATAAATCATGGTGAAAAATGGATAATCGAGTAAGTGGGCAAACCTAGTAAAGGTCTGCGAACCCACTGGCCACCTTGTGGGCAATCCTGCTTGCACCAGCCTGGACCTCGTGGTCCAGCAAGCGCTTGGTGAGTTTCCTGATTCTGCGGTTGGTAGATCCACTGCTCAAAGGGTAAATTCTGTGCTTTGCTTTCAGCTAGAACCTGGCTGGGACTGGGGACCCAGCAGGACTTGGCCTGCATGGCTTCGATCACCCACAGCTGGCACCATTACCCTGAAACGGAACTGGGGGGGGGGCGCAAGAAGCTACTGATCCTTGAAGACCTTGGAGCAGAAGTCCCAATGTCACTCAGCCACATCCTGCTGCTCAGATATGAGAAGAAACTGAGTCCTCCATGCTGGAACACACTAGAGACTGTGGGCAGCCTGTGCTCAGAGACTCCCCTGTCACGCCCACCTCTGCCCTCAGTCTTCCCACTTTGATGGCCTGCAAAGACTGGTCAAGACCTGAACTGGTACACAGACACTTGTTCTTAATCCAAAGACAACCTTGAGCCTGTAATTTCAGCACTGTGGAAGCTGAGGCAGGAGGATCACCATGAGTTTGAGGCCAGCTTGGGCTCCATTCTTCAGGCCAGCCTGAACTGCAGAGCAAGATCTTGTCTCAAAAAACAAAACAAAAACAACCTTGAAGGTATATGTCAGTTTCCCACATGTTGATCAATCTTCTATCCATTAGCCAATCCAAGTATTCTTATCCTTTTTCTGAGATTATTCGTAAGTGTATGTCATATATAAAATCCCCGGGGCCAGGGAGATAGCTCAGTAGAATAAGTACTTGCTGGCAAGCACAAGGGCCTGAGTTCAATCCCCAGTTCCACAAATAAATAAAATCCCCTAATGTAGTTTTGCTTGGACTTTAGTATAAAAATGGTGAGAAAATACTGTACATAATTTTTATTCCTTGACTTTCTCCCTCAATCTTATGTGTCTAAAATCCATCTTTGTTGATACATAACAGCCTGTTATATTCATCCGCTGGGTTAGCCATTTAACAATGACTGTTCGGCTTCTTCTTTTTTTTTAATTTTTAGACAAGGTCTCACTACAAAGTCCAGGCTGAATTTAAACTCACAGCAGCCCTCTTGCCAGCCTCCTGAGTGCTGGGATTACAGGCATGGGTTCTTTGCGAATTCTTACCATTGCAATCCCCTGCAAACATTTTTTTTTTTTTATGGTGCTTCATGTGCAGCTAACAAGAGTTCCTGACTGCATACCTGGAAGTAGGCCTGCCGGGTCATGCAGGGAGCAAATGTTCAACTCGCAAACACTGCCCGCTCCGCAGCGGAGCCTGTCCACATTCACCCCATGCCGCATTCTCCATGCACACCCTTCCAGCGCTTCAGGCTGACCATGCCTTGCCAATGGACTGGAAGTAAAATGGTGTTGTAGTCCGTTCCACAAGGGAAAAGATATAACACAGGACACATCATTTATAGGATTATTTCATAATACTCACCCAAAGAGTCAAATCCAAGAATGTAGGAGATCTGTTCACACACTAGAAACCCAAGGAATCCAGCTGAGGGCCTGGAGCCCACAGCAGTGCCCTCCCACGAGTCCAGCTGGAGGCCTAGAGCTCACCACAATGTCTTACACAGGTCTGTATCAAGGATCTGTGCTAGGCAGGCCCACAGGTCAGTGGTGGGAGCTAGACAGTCTGCACCAGCAGGTGAAGGATCCGTGCCAGCAGGCGCTGGAGCCAGGAAACAAGGACGGAGCTCCCCCAGAAAGAACCTCAACCATCCTTAGCACCAGTGAGGACTTAACTCCTCAGACCATGAGAACAGCCAGCTCCTATCAGGAAAGCCAGCACCACAGGCTTCTCCAGGAGCATCCACAGCACGCCATCTTCCCCTCCACTTCTGCTGCTATGCTGCCGGCTCAGTCCTCAAGTGGGCCCTCCACGCCCAGCGCCGCAATGAGTCAGCTCAGCTGGGGGCTGGGGGCGGACCAGTGGTTAATCCACCACAGGTGGCGTTTCTTTAGGGATTTAATTCCATCTCTGATGAGTAGGATTGTGGGGCAATTCTCCTGGCTTACCCAACCTTGCATGGCTCTGTGTGTGTGTGTACGTGCATGCGTGCTTGCGCACGCAGGATCCTCTGCTGTAATTTCCAGGTGTTCTTTGTCTACTTTGCATTTTATATTTTGTTAGCTTTTCTCTAGCAGCACCATGTGCATTCTTTTTTTTTTTTTTTTTTAGAACAGTGGATTGAACTCAGGCCCTTGCGCTTGCCAGGCAAGCGCTTATTCTACTGAGCTATCTCCCCAGCTCCACTATGTGCATTCTTGTCCATTTGTTCATACACACTTTAGGAGCAATTACCAAGTTTCATGAAAATTTTTCTTTTTATTGAGACAGGGTTTCTCTGTGCATCACAGGCTGGCACCAAGCTCACAGCAATCCTGCTGCCTCAGCCTCCTAAGTGCTGGGATTATAAGGTGCCACCATGTGTGGCTGAAAATTTTTCTTAAAGTTCTTACTAGACTTGTATAAAATCTATAGATCTGCTTGGAAAGAATTGAAATCATAATTTCAAGCATTCCAATCCATAAACTTATTTTTAAATTGTATTCAGGTGGGCGTGGTGGTGTGCACCTGTAGATCCAGCACTTGACAGCCGAGGCAGGAGGATTTCCTCCAGTTTGAGGCCAACCTAAGTAAACTGCATAGTGACTTTAAAGCCAGCCTTGTCAGGGTTACAGTGCCTGCCTGGAAAGTGCAGGGTCCTGATTTCCAACACACACACACACACACACACACACACACACAGACACAGCCTGCACTACCTAGTAGGACCCTGTCTCAAAAAACAAAACGAATGTATTTGGACCTTTAACATCTTCCAATATAGTTTTATATTTGACTGAATAGAGGTCTAGCAGATCCTTCATTAGACTCCTATATTTGTTGTGATAATACATAATTACGAGTATTGTTGGTGTGTAGAAATTATGGAGGATGCGTGGGTGACTCCCTGAAGGAGGCACCATTGTCGTCATCGTGGCTGAGCCTGACCCTATTTCCACGTACTGATGTGTGCCGAGCAGGCTAAGACTTTTCCTTTTCCCTTCAACTGGCTTTACACAGCATGTGTGGGTTCAGCAGAGGGGCTTGTGGTAGTCTTTATGTGGTAGTCTTTGTTTCCCTGGAAGCCTCGGCCGTTAGTCTGTTGTGAGCAGGACTAGATGGGACAAAGGGCCGGTGCTCCATGCTGTCGCTGTCACCTGGGATGGAGCCTCTAGACAGAGTCTTTGCAGACCCTTCTCTGCACATTGCAGAAGTGAGCTCAGGCCTCCTCCCCGGCCCAGCCCACAGCACTCACCTACTGCCCACCCCGTTCACAGTCACTCAGCCCCAAGCCACTCCTTTCTTCCTGACTGGATTAAACCCGGGTTAAGCCCTAGGTGGAAGCCTTTGTTCTGGATGGCCATCATCATGGCTGGACTTAGGACCCCTGGGTTCCCCTTAACTCCAAATATGCCTTAGGGTCCTTCTTCCCATCATGGGCTGCACCGGAAGTGGTAGATTGGAATTAGCTCACTGTAATGCCAATAACTTCATGAGATTACAAATATAAACTTCCTAGGGTGA